GTTTTGGGACCACTCGCTCCTCCTTAATAGAAGTTAGGCAAATTGTTTTTGAACCACTCGCTCCTCCTCAATAGATAGTTAGGCAAATTGTTTTGGGACCGTAAATTTACTCATTAGACAGTTAGGTAAATTTTGTCAGGACCGTGAATTTGCTCAATGGATAGTTAGGCAAACTGTCTTGAGACCGTTCATTGTTCAGGATTTACTGCAATGTAAAGTTTGGTAACTTTTTTCGTGACCGTAAGCTGGCTCATGAGAAAGTTAGGCTAATTTTTCCATGATTGTTCGCTGGCTCAGGGAAGTTAAAAGTTTGAAAACTTATTGATGTCCAGTTGAAACTTCAACCACGTCGGCAGGCTTTTCTTGATAGCGGGCCAATGTTAGTCGTTTCATCGATAATCATTATATCGCCAGTCACGAGATAAGCAACACAAAATAACGAAGGAAAAGGATTCCATGAGAAAGATGCGTGTTCGAATCGCGTTGAGATTTGTGGAGGAAACACCTGGAAAACATGGAGGCAAGGAATTCTGAGTCGAGACTTTTCAGGCGTGAGTAGGCCCTAACGCGAGTTAGTTCAACGGTACGATTGTGGCGTACCACTAACTGCAACCAGTCAAAGACCGCACCGTCGCAGCACAGTTCACGTTTCCAGTGAGAGTAGGCCCTATAGTATAGGTAAGAGTCACAGCAAATAAGAGACTAACTAAATTGAAAGCAGTTCCAAAGAAGACTCGTGATGCATGGCCCGCCAATCTCAAGACACATCCCTGATAAAGTTCGTAAACATGCCGGCACCAAGGAGGTGGGTCTAAACGTTGCTGCCGTACATGTTGACAAAACCTTGGACTAAGTTCTCAATTTAGGTATGATGGGAGTAGTTCTTCTGTCCCAGCTCTGTGATTGAAGCCTTTATGATGACCCCATATTCTGACTTGAAGCTGATACAGACTTTTTCCTGCAAATCAAGCCCTTCTCGAGGGCTGGCTTGAACAATTTGTAGCTGCTATTTCTGACCCGATCAGGGTTTTTTTGCGAACACTGTGCCTTCGTCAGCTTTTTGTACCACAAGAGATTTGGGAAGTAACTTTATGTTTTTAAGTTTTACGATCCTGCAAAGGTGTTGAGGCTGAGCAGTGACAAACCAAACCTGCAATTTCAAGATCCTTAATTTTAGGATCATGTGTTCTTATAAACTATACATATAAGCATGCCTTCAACTTACAGATCTGGTTAAAGTTTTACATTTTCCTGCAACAACCTTTCTGAAATGACTTCCAAGTTCTTCACTTGTGAAAAAAGGAGATCTGCTAAGGCTGCAAAGTTAGATTTGGACTGATCAACACCTTGAAATCATAAGTCTTAAGATTTGTGAAACAAAATTGTAGAGGTATCCAAAACATAAAAATTGCCCAAAATGAGACAATTTAGACTTGGACACACTTAGATGTTATCCTCCTTTCCAATGAAGGAGACATGTATGTCTGTCAATAGGTTGGGGTACAAAAGCAAATGTATGCTTCGCCCTTGAAGTGTTGTTCTTAACATGTTAATAAATACTGTTTCTAAACCACATTTGAACAATTTTCCACCCAGTTGTTGGCATTCCGTGCACATCAAAACGAACAAAATGGACTCAACAAGGGGCAATCAAGATAATTACAACAAAATCCGAGACGAAACTGCAAAAAGAAAGCAACATGACAAATACCATTTTTTTCTCTAAAATAACCACAGCATTTTAATATTTCTGTTCTATATCAAAATAGTATATTTTTACCTGGAAGCACCTAAAGTCTTATTTACAATATTACTTTCCTACAACATACCTCAGATTTCACTTTTGCCCCTTCTTTATATGAGTGTGTGTTCCAACAAAATACTTAGATAAGAAAAACGACGGCACCTGTAAATTTCAGAAAACCACCTGCAAGAAACGCATAAACTACAGTCTACACTATCGGGCATGAAGGTGCTGAAGGACTAGCTTCAAAAGTAGTTTTGATTACACTTGTCACATTCTGAATAACACTTTACAAATTATTGTTTAACAAACCTGATCAACTGTAGGCATTCTCGGTTTGCTTTTTGAAGAATCTTTGTTCAATTACCACAAAAAGTTAGTTATAGATATCCCGAGCAGAAAAGTCATCGGTGACTCCACAGAGCACTACTTTGAACATTGCCCTGGAACACACTATGCATTTACAGGAATTGCTGCATAAAGCAACAAGCAAACTATTGGAGCGATGAACAGACTGCTGAAGTCTTTACCAGGATATCCAAGAGTATTGTTGCATTATGGCCAGAACAGAATAAATACGGATGATTCACAATAGTGCGCCACCAAGAGTTTGCAACACGGTGGCCAGTCATAACGTGCAAAATTTGTCGACCCTTTCCAAACGCGCATTGGGTCGACAAATTTTGCGCATTGTGATTGGCCAACGCGTTGAAAGGTCTTGGTGGCACACTATTGTGAAACGGCCGTATTGTGGCTGGGAATATAACATACATGTATGTGAAGATGGAAGTCACTGGCTTTCATCGTAATGGTGACCGTTTTCCATAGACCCCCAAAACACCTAATTGCCGACCAAAGACAAGTCTTTTCTCACATGGCCACATTCCCGACTCCCAATTTGTGCCGCCACGTTAGCAGTGCATCAGGCAGAGGGATTGTTCATGAACCTGCTTCATGTTGCTTGGCAGATACACAGGCTGAACTAAACCTGAGCTAATGAAAGAGAAGGCGGGTGACCGGTTTGGTCATGTTTATTGGCTGTGGCCAGTGAGATATTCTGTGCTCAATCAATATTACTTGGTTTTCCCATGAAATCCCCCCTCCTCCCAAATATACACTACTAAGTTCTTCGGCTCACTCAAAAGTATCCAAGTGAATATGTCATGCAGACAATACAGGCATTTCACAACAGTGCGCCTCCTAGAGTTTGAAACGCGTTGACCAATCACAGTGCACGAAATCTGTCGACCCAATGCATGTTTGGAAAGGGTCAACAGATTTTGCGCACTGTGATTGGTCAACGCGTTGCAAACTCTTGGAGGCGCACTACTGTGAAACGCCCGTATTGTATGTAAAAGGCATCGGTGCGGGTACGAGCGCGTGAACCAACACATGCGTGTACTCCATTCATTTGTACTGCATTCCCTGGCTCAAAATGACATCACACTTTAGTACTCAATAAGTACTCAAGGTTGCCAAGGTTGGAAGCCTCTAGGCTATCGGCTACAATCGGGCCTCATAGATCATGTGTTACTTTCCATCTCAGCCATGTCATTCCACGTGATACCTGGCAGGATACCTGGATATCTCTCATCTTTGGTAAAAAGATAGTTGAGAGTCCCTACAACTGCAATTTTTAAAAATGTACAGGCTTTGCAGAAAAAAAGAACTTCATTCCTACTTCAGATTTTTATCAGCGATTAACCCTTTTCTGGTTAACACAAAATATACAGCATAATATTACTCTAGTTTGTTTAAAATCCAAAGATATAACAGTCCAGTACATTTCAAAATGTGATCTGAATCTAGTACTCTACTCATAATACCCACGGCAAACAATTCAACCATTGTGAGGTAAAATCTTAGCATTAAAGTTCTAAGTATTAGAAATTCACTGGCCCAAGCCTCTGAATATGAACCAAAAACAAAACAAAAATTACTTACAAATTACCAAACTTTGCAAAGTTCATTGTAATATTGATGATGGTATTCCTTGTCAAAAAATTTCTAAAACAGTTAGCAATTTTGCCATGTGCCACAAATAAATACAAATGGCAAAAACAAACGTGGTGTGATGTGTTATTTTGATCAATAATTGTTTCTTCAAACAATAGCTTTCAAATTAGTAGCTGATTAAAATGAAATTTAATATTACACACATACGTACTGTCTTTTCTATACCGTCTTCCTTAAACTAAAAAGTTAAAACCAGTCCAATGGAATTGTTTAGAAAAATCTTTCTTTTCATAATTGCTTAAAAAAATGCAAAAGTCTAGCTGGCAGTGAAGAAAAATTATTTAAACATAAGAGAAAACTAAGTAATAGCTATCTGCATAAAAAGGAAACAATTGCTTATCGATTATCAACTTTAACAATTTCTACAAGATACCGGTAAAATCAGGACATGATGTCAAATATTCCATCAAAATGTTTGCAGACAAATTAAAATATACCACATTTGCATTTTGCAATTTAAAATGGCTCTGTCAAAATTTAGAACAAGCGCAAAAGCCCAAGCTGCAACACCAAATCTATACATACAAGTACATGTAAAACAGATGCAGATTTCAGTATATAAGAAAGTTACTGTCGTGTATGAGATTTTAAGTCTAGACAAATCAATGCATTGTAAAATTAAGAACAAGTTGAAACATTATAATTGGAAAAGACAATCAGTAAACAAATCTTTTGGTGTATATTTGCTTATTGTTTCCATGTACATAAGTAATAAATCCAATTACATGTAATTAAAATGCAGATGTGTAAATGCCAAGTAAAGTGATGCTACTGCAGAAATGATTAATGCCTCAGAATCAGTGATTCTGTAGAAAGGTTGACTCCTCACGAAACCAGCTTTACAGAGCTGGCGTATATTTCAATGGATCACCCTTTGTAGACCTTTCTAGTCATCAAAAAGGGGTTTGGCTGTACAGCTCTACAGACAAATCCGACGACCATAATTAGAAGCCATTACTATGGTGCCATCCTGTTCGCACGCAGGCCGTGCGTGCGTGAAATTCCTCCTTTACCAACTGGCAGTAGTCAATTGCCGAAATGCGCACACGCGTGCAATCTGGTTGAGACGGCTGCGTGCATGTAAATGATGGCCTCTTGGAATGGCGTCTCGTCGGGTTTGTCTGTAGCCATCGTGGCAACAGTGCCTCAGCTACAGAAGTCTACAGCCATCACATCATACAGTTCTGTAGCCATGAAAAGGTATGAAGTTGGTGGTGGCTGAGGCTGTACTGGTCTCTAAGCTCAGCCATCAAACTATGGCAAAACCTGCACCTTGGAGGTAGTTATTTGATGGGTTTTGGGCAGTTGATGGTCAATGCAATTCACAATTTGGCTCAATTTATTTCCAAATGTCTTTACTGAAGGATGACACGCTGGGAGTGCCCTCCAACTTTCAGCTCATGGCATGAGAGAGATGGGGGGAGGGTTGAATGGGCTGAGGCATCTCTGAGACAAGAGCTTTGACAGTTGAGGTTCTGTGAGGTCAGTGATGGCTGGATGACAATCTTGAGCTGTTGGCACAGTAACAGTGTCATCATCATCTCTCTGCAATTTGTTGGCCGTCAGTGTTCATCCTCATGCTGCGAGCTGGGTGCAAACAAACAGGGGAACAGACAGACACAAACCTTTAACAAGCAGTTACAAATTTTAAACGATGCCACTGTACAGAGACGAGTTAGCTGTTGCATTTAGTTCTGTCACATTGAAAACTGTCCCACACAAGTGTTGCTCTGCAACGTGATTGGACTGGTGAACTGGTACATCTGAAGATGATTCTTTCACAGGTAAGGTCCCACTTCCAAAATATGCACGTACAGTCTGTGCATAGATCTTTCTGTATCAGTGGGTTCGCTTACTTCCATCCGCGCTTACTCATGTGAGCACAACTGCATTCAATTTGACAGATTATGTCTCAGGGCCTGGCCAATCATGTGGCTGACCTTCCCAGCCAGTTACTGGGGAAGCATCCCACAATGCAATGCAAAAACATGGCAGCTTCCGTGTTGCAAGGGAAAATTGGCACCATTTTAAATATTTTGGTAAAATACTTGAACATAGCAGCAAATTGGCTAAGACAATAAGGT